CCGGCCCGGCCGAGGGGATGCTCGGTAGAGCCTGGCACTGGCAGCGCCGGCTGGAGCGAGGGGGGGGGACATCATGGGACCCCCTCGATGGCCTTGTCCTTGTCCCTGTCCCTGCAAGGCTCGGCCGTGCTGGCCCAAGAGGACGACCTGGCCATGTCGCTGCACTTCATGAACCTGGGCAGCAGCCCCTTGTCCTCAGCAGAGAGCAAGCTGGAGGGGCTGAAGAGCAACTTCATCGAGAACCCCCAGTACTTCTGCGACGCCTGTAAGGGTTTGGAATGGGGAGGGACGGACCCCAGGAGCATCCTCCCAGTGCCTCATCCCTGGTGCAGGGTCGGGGGGGCACTGATGGGTCGGGGTCCCCCCCCCAGGCGTGCACCACGTGCAGCGTCGGGACATTGTGCTCAAGTGGGAGCTGGGGGAAGGCGCCTTCGGGAAGGTTTTCTTGGCCGAGTGCTACAACCTCCTCCCGGAGCAGGAGAAGATGCTGGTGGCTGTGAAGGTGAGGAGGGGGGGGAACGATGATGATGATGATGATGGGGGTGTCTATGGGGGGGTTGTTTGATGCCGCCTCCCCGCAGGCCCTGAAGGAGGTGACGGAAAGCGCCCGCCTGGACTTCCAGCGCGAGGCCGAGCTGCTGACGGTGCTGCAGCACGAGCACATCGTCAAGTTCTACGGTGTCTGCACCGAGGGCGAGCCCCTCATCATGGTCTTCGAGTACATGAAGCACGGGGACCTCAACCGCTTCCTCAGGTGGGCCGGGGGGGGGGGGGGGTGCCTCAGCCCCCCCCTCCCCTTTCCTTGGCCGCTCCATCAGCGCTGCCAGCCTGCTCCCTGCTAATGCAGCCCTCCTTGCAATATTGATTAGATTAGCTGTCTGAGAGGCTCAAATAGAGAGAGATTGGCCATCAGCTGGAATGAGCAGAGACTTTTCGATTGCCCCCCCAGGTATTGCTGCTAGACGGGGGGGGACAGCGCGGGGGGGGGGAAGCTGCCAGAGGCATCGCTTTAGTGGCCGCGCTGAGCTCTGAGACGTGGCTGCTGTGATTATCGTTATGGGAGTTGGCATTAATGGTTGTGCCGAGCAGAACCCCCCCGCCCCAGCTCCCGCTGTCAGCAGCGCTCGGCATCAAAGGCAGAGCTGCTGGATGCGGCCCCCGGTTCGCACCCCGGCGGCCTCCGTGGAGCCGGGGACCGCTTTGGGATGGAGGGAGCTCAAAGCTCCGCGGGCAGGGGCACGGTCCCCTCCTGCATCCTTCCCGGCACCGCCGCTCCCTCCCTTTACCCCCGCTGCCCCCATTGCCCCCCGTGCCCGGCTCCGAGCAGCCCCTGTGCCCGGCAGGTCCCACGGCCCCGATGCCAAGATGCTGGAGCAGGGGCAGGGGCAGCCCTGCGGGCCGCTGACGCTGAGCCGCCTGCTGCAGATCGCCACGCAGATCGCCTCGGGCATGGTCTACCTCGCCTCGCTCCACTTCGTCCACCGGGACCTGGCCACCCGCAACTGCCTGGTGGGCCACGACCTGGTGGTGAAGATCGGGGACTTCGGGATGTCCCGGGACATCTACAGCACCGACTACTACCGGGTGAGCCGGGTGCTCCGCTCCCATCCCCGGGCCGTGCCCAGCCCTGCTCAATCACAGCAGCCCAGTCTGGGGTGGGGTGGAGGCATCTTAAAGCCCATCCAGTTCCATGCTACTGCATGGAGCAGGGAGCTCCAGCCTGGCCTTGAGCACTGCCGGGGATGGGGCTCCTCCGGGCACACTCAGTGTTAAAACAGCTCTAATCTGAGGCATATCTGGGGGCTTGAGGGGGGCAAACGGGGGGGGTCTTGCCCCACTGATAGCCCCGCTGCGGGCAGGTGGGGGGCAGGACCATGCTGCCCATCCGCTGGATGCCCCCCGAGAGCATCCTCTACCGTAAATTCACCACCGAGAGCGATATCTGGAGCTTTGGCGTCGTGCTCTGGGAGATCTTCACCTACGGGAAGCAGCCCTGGTACCAGCTCTCTAACACCGAGGTGGGTGATGGAGGGGGGGGGGCAGGGGATGGTGTCAGAGCTCCCGGGGGTGTGTGTGGGGGGGTTATCCCACCTCCATCCCCTATTTCCACAGGCCATCGAGTGCATCACGCAGGGCCGGGAGCTGGAGCGGCCCCGCACGTGCCCCTCCGAGGTGTACTCCATCATGCAGAGCTGCTGGCAGCGGGAGCCCCAGCAGCGCCGGCCCATCAAGGACATCCACAGCCACCTCCAAGCCCTGGTCAAGACCCCCCCCATCTACCTGGACATCCTGGGCTGAGGGGGGGACCCCTTCCAAGCACCCTCTGCTCCCTGCTGCCCCGCTGCCTCCCGCGCCATGGATCCCCCCGGGCTGATGCTCCAAGGGATGGGGGGGGGGAGAGGGACAAAACCTTATTTATAGTGGAAAATTCCCTTCCCAGCCCCCCGTGGGGGGCTGCGGGGCTGGGCTGGGGGCCCCCCAAGGCTGATGGGGCAGAGCTGAGAGCTCCCAGCACAGGCTCGGGGCCAGTGCTCGCGCTGGGGGCCCAGCTCTAGGGGGGTGGTTTAGGTACTCGGCGGCTCGGCTGCTCCTTCATCCCGGTCCGTGGCTGGTGGGATGCTCCGCTCTGCAGCACAACCGGTCCATAATAAAGCTGTCCTCCCCCCTCCCCCCCCGGCACTGGGACCCGCTGGCTCCGGGTGGGATTGGAGCGGCTTCGGGATAAAAAGAGGGGGGTTTTGGAGCAGGGAGGCTGTGGTGAGGGGAGAGGATGTGCCCGGGATGCAGGGACGAGGTGTGCCTGGGATGCAGGGATCATGTGTGTCCGGGATGATGTGTGTCCAGATGCAGGGATGCAGTGTGCCCGGGATGCAGGAATGATGTGTGTCCGGGATGCAGGGACGAGGGGCGTGCCTGGGATGCAGGGATCATGTGTGTCCGGGATGCTCTGTGCCCGGGATGCAGGGACAATGTGTGTCCAGGATGCAGGGATGCTGTGTGTCCGGGATGCAGGGATGATGTTCCTGTCCGCAGATGCAGAGAGTGTGTCATGGGGCTCAGCATCCCTCCAGGATGCTCTTGCCGTACCTCAGCCGGGCGCCTGGGTCCCGTTGCCGATGGGTCCAGGGGATGGATAGGACTCCACGGCACAAAGCCAAAGGGTGAAGCCCCCCCTTTCCCCACAGCCCTCATCGGAGCCAGGGGGTTATCACATGCCCTGTAGCATCCACTCCATCATCCCCCCTCGGGCTCTCCGGCCGCCTTGGTAATGGTCGAGACCTGGATCTGACCGTAATGGAGCTGAATTGATTCCATCTGGCTCATTAGGCAGGGCCTGGCAGCTCTTTTGTTACCCACCACGACCCGAGATAAGCAGGAGGAAAGGGGGGCACGGAGGGGAAACTGAGGCAGGGGCGAGAGGGAGCCAAGGGGCTCAGGACCCCGCGGGGCCGGGGCTGGATGGAGGAGCCCCAGCCCGTGTGCTCCATCCCCAGACCCCACAGTGGGGCTGGACCCAGCTCCAATCCCTTTCCTTGTGCAGTGGGGAGCTGCTGCGGACAGGATGCGAGCCCAGAGCCCCCCCCTCCTCCTTGGGGTCCCTCCTGCCCTGCTCCTCTGCTGATTTATGGCCTCTTTCCCCTCTTATCTCATTTGAGGAAGGAACAAGATTAAAACCTTTGAGCTTCTCCAGCCCCGCCGCAGAGCAACGCCCCGGAACGGCCCCGCTGCGAGCGGCTCCCCTTTGGGGGGGTCAGGGAAGGGTTAAGCTCCCTCCAGCCCCACTCCCCGGGGGCTCCAGCGCTCATTGATCCCCCCCCGGCTCCCCCCCGCCGCCGTTTCTCGGTGTCGGGCTCCGGGGGGAGCTGTAATGGACTCGCAATGAGGTAATTAACGGCTCCGCTCCCCCCCGCCCAGCGACCGGGGGTAACGGAGGGGGGGACGGCCCCGTTCTGCCCCATTGGGGTGCTGGGGGGTCCATGGCCGCATCCTGCACCAGGGGGTCCCGACCCGCCCCGGTGCTGCCGGCGAGGACCCCGCTGAGGCTGGGTCTGCTCCGAGCATCCCTTGAGGGCATCCCCCCTGTGTGGTTTTGGGGGCATTGAGGATGCAGCGCGAGGGCTGCCCGGCCCCTCACAGCCCCCTAAGTGCACTTGGGGGTCCCGGTCCAGCATCGCGGCGCTGGGGCGCAGCTGCAGCGTCCCCAAGCACCGTTCCCCCTGCCCTGGGGACACCTTAAAGAGCAGGAGCCTATGGGGGGTCACTTCCACCCCCCCGGGAAGCGCCCTTTTGGAGTGGCCACAGCGGACCCGCAGCTGCAGGTGGGTTCGATCCTAATGGAGCCCTGGGATGGGTGGGAATGAGCCGCGCTGGGATGTGGGGATCATTCCGAGTGATTAGAGCTATTACTGTAACGAGGAGAAGCGATTAATGGCGCCTTGACAGCACTTGAGGCCGGATAATGCACTGTGCTCACTGGGCTGGCAGGGAGGGGGTCCCAGCGTGGCCGGGGATCCCGGGATTTACATGGGATGTATGGGCAGGAGCCCGGGATATGGGCTAATAGGCGTGACACACAGATCCCGGGATGCAGGGGTGATGGATGGCTGAGGGATCCAGGGCATGAGGGTGATGTGCGACCAGGGGGAGGCTGGGATGGAGGGATAAAGTGTGGGATGGAGGGGTGATAGGTGCCTGTGATGCCGGGATGCAGGGATAACATGTGCCTCGGGTGTTGGAATGCAGGCACGATGTGTACCTGAGATGCTGGGATGCCAGGATTATGTGTCCAGGATGCTGGGATCCTGGGATGATGTGTGCTTGGGGTGCAGGGATGGGGATGCTCAGCTCCCAGTCCCTCAGGGGCGTACAGGAAACCCATGGAGGGGCTTTGCAATGGGCTGGAGGGACAGGAGACAACCAAAATCCACTTTATTTGGTCAAAGCCAAGCCCGTGCTGGAGCCCAAGCCCCAGTGCAACCCTCAGGGGCGCTCTGCCCCCCCCGAGCACCCAAAGAGCACCTTGTCCGTGGCCTCCTGCACCCAGATCCCGGCTCCGAGCCCCGGCTGCAGCCGAGGCAGAGCAGGACCCAACTGAGCTGAAGCCACTGCCTGAGCCCTCCCGAGGGCCAGCACAGCTCCACGGGCTGCGAACCCGGCACCAGTGGGTTTATCCCTTGGGAATCAGCACCCCCCTCCAGTCCCTTCCCTTGGCTGGGTGGAGCAGGAGCAGAGGGGGAGCAATGGGACGAGGATTGGGGCAGGAAGAGGAATGGGAAGGAGGGAGCCAGGATGTGGGAAACCGCAACGGGCACCCGGGTCCCCTCCGAGCCTGGGCTGTGGGGTGAAGGGAAGGGCTCCAAGGGGAGGGCAGAGGAGCCCCTGCAGCAGCCAAGGGTGGTCCTGGGGGTCCCTCGGGGCTCAGCCCACTCAGTTGATGGGCTCGTACTCGGAGTAGCGCCGCCTGCGGGCGCAGAGGAGCGCGCAGCCGCCCAGCAGCAGCAGCAGCACCGGGGTGCCCAGCGCCACGGCCATGATGGAGATGACGAGGGGGGAGAAGGTGTCCTGGGGGGGCTGCCCGAAGCCCAGCAGCGCCGACCTGCAGCGGGGAGGGGACAAATCCCACTCTGAGACCCCCCCCAGCCCCGCAGCACCGGGGGCTTGAACGCAGCCAGGGACGGGGCAGCCCCTCCGGGCGCCCCGAGGGGAGCAGAACTCGCCCCTCACCAGCTCAGGAACCGCTTCTCCTCGTAAACCTTCCCCTCCTCTCCGCCGAAGGAGATGTTGACGGCGCTGACGCTGTAGCTGCTGCCGGCCCCGTCCCCGAAGTAGGCCCGGACGAGGCTGGACGCGGGCAGGCTCCAGTTGGCCGCTCGCAGCCCCTGGGAGCGGCAGCGGATCCGGTCCTCGCGCCGGGGCCGCCGGGAGCCGTAGGCGGTCGCCTTCCACTGCAGGAAGCTTCGCGCCGAGCTCTCGTTCTGGGCCTGGGCTGCCAGGGAGAGCACCTGGAGCGGGGCGGGAGCCGCACGGTGAGCACAGGGCGGGCTCCCAGCGCCGGGGGCCCCGGGCCGGGCTCACCTCGAAGACGGTCGGGGTGTACTCGTCATCGATGGAGCGCAGCGCCCGCAGCGCCGGCGCCAGCCCCGGCTCCTCCACCGCCGCCACCTCCAGCGCGAAGCGGGAGCCGTTGCCCCGCGGGGCCACCCCGGCCAGGACGAACTCCACCTTGGAGCTGTTCGCTGTGTGCAGGAGGCTGGGCAGGGCCTCGTCGCGGCCGCCGGCCTCGTAGGCTGTGACCTGCGGGGACGCGGAGCTGGGGTACGGCGCGGGGACGTCCCCGCTCCAGGACACGGTGCTGGGCGCATCCCGGGGTGGTGCGGGCCCGTCCCCGAGGACGTACCCGGAAGGCGACGCTGCCGTTGGAGAAGCTGCCACCGGGATCAGCCGCTGGGACACCGGAGAACTCGGCCGTCAGCGCTGTGTGGTTCAGGGTGCCATTGATGCTGGCCCAGGAGAAGTCGGAGAGGTCGTAGGTGGGGTAGAAAAGCTCCTCCTGGGCTCCAGCCTCGCTGTACTCAAACACCTCAGGGAGAAGGAAAAGGAGAGGGGATGGGATGGGAGCCGTTCCCTGGTGCTGAGGATTCAGGGAATCAGCAACGGAAAAGCCCTTTCAGCTCATCCAGCCCCATGCCAAGGCCACCGCTGCCCCATGGCACTGAGGGGGTGTGAACACTCGCAGGGACGGTGCCTGCAGCCCTGCCCTGGGCAGCCTGGTCCAGTGGGGCAGGAATTGCTCCCCAGCTCCATCTCAACCTGCCCTGGTGCAGCCTGAGGCCGTTTCCTCCCGTCCCATCCCTCGGGAGCAGAGCCCAGCCCCTCCTGCTGTGCTCCAGCGCACGGGGCTGGGCGCAGGAGCCCCCGGGGCGCTGCCTTGGCCAGGACTCGCTGCGGAAGCGGCTCCCGCTCTGTCCCCCCCCCTCGCCGAACCTTGGTGAAGACAACGGCGGCCGCGTGGGTGACGCTGCCGGGGGGCTCGATCCAGACGGCGCCGGCGGGGGCAGGCGAGAGGAGCCGGGTCCAGTCGATGCCCAGGGCGCTGGTGCTGCTCCGGGAGGCCAGCAGGAGCACGGCGGGGCCGCCGATGCTGCTCCACACGTAGTGCAGGGTGTCCGCGGCGCCCACGGCCCGCACGTGGAGCAGGTTCACCGAGGAGCCGTTCCAGCCGGGGTTGTACTGCAGGGACACCTGCGGGCAGCGGCGGCTCTCACACGGGCCCCGTGCCCGCTGCTCCCCCGGGCCCGGTCCCGGTCCCGGCCCCGCTCACCCTCCTCCCGCCGCCGCCGCCGGCCACCACCGGGAGCAGCAGCAGCAGCACCACGGCCGCCGCCATGTTGCGAGCGCAGCCGCTCACGTGACCGCGCGGCCACCGCGCCCTTAAAGGGGCCGCCGCTCTTTCCAAACCCCCCCGGGAGGGGTGGGGGGGTGGGGGGGGGCCTGGCTCCTGTCCCCGCCCCGGGGCGCATGAACCAGGGCAGGGGGGGGACGTTTCTACCACCCCTTCCCCATTCAATGCACAACGGCAGTGGAATGTCGTGATTTGGGTTTATTTCTCAGGCAAATCGCGATATCCCAGAGCCTCCCATGATTTCCCATCAAATCGCGATATCCCAGAGCCTCCCATGATTTCCCGTCAAATCGCGATATCCCAGAGCCTCCCATGATTTCCCATCAAATCGCGATATCCCAGAGCCTCCCATGATTTCCCATCAAATCGCGATATCCCAGAGCCTCCCATGATTTCCCGTCAAATCGCGACATCCCAGAGCCTCCCATGATTTCTCAGGCAAATCGTGATATCCCAGAGCCTCCCATGATTTCCCATCAAATCGCGATATCCCAGAGCCTCCCATGATTTCCCATCAAATCGCGATATCCCAGAGCCTCCCATGATTTCCCATCAAATCGCAATATCCCACAGCCTCCCATGATTTCCCATCAAATCGCGATATCCCAGAGCCTCCCATGATTTCCCATCAAATCGCGATATCCCAGAGCCTCCCATGATTTCCCATCAAATCGCGATATCCCACAGCCTCCCATGATTTCCCATCAAATCGCGATATCCCACAGCCTCCCATGATTTCCCATCAAATCGCGATATCCCAGAGCCTCCCATGATTTCCCATCAAATCGCGATATCCCACAGCCTCCCATGATTTCCCATCAAATTGCGATATCCCAGAGCCTCCCATGACTTCCCAGGCAAATCGCGATATCCCAGAGCCTCCCATGACTTCCCAGGCAAATCGCGATATCCCAGATCCTCCCATGATTTCCCATCAAATCGCGATATCCCAGAGCCTCCCATGATTTCCCATCAAATCGCGATACCCCAGAGCCTCCCATGATTTCCCATCAAATCGCGATATCCCACAGCCTCCCATGACTTCCCATCAAATCGCGATACCCCACAGCCTCCCACGATTTCCCATCAAATCGCGATATCCCAGAGCCTCCCATGACTTCCCAGGCAAATCGCGATATCCCAGATCCTCCCATGATTTCCCATCAAATCGCGATACCCCAGATCCTCCCATGATTTCCCATCAAATTGCGATACCCCAGAGCCTCCCATGATTTCCCATCAAATCGCGATATCCCAGAGCCTCCCATGATTTCCCATCAAGTCGCGATATCCCAGATCCTCCCATGATTTCCCATCAAATCGCGATATCCCAGAGCCTCCCATGATTTCCCATCAAATCGCGATACCCCAGAGCCTCCCATGATTTCCCATCAAATCGCGATATCCCAGATCCTCCCATGATTTCCCATCAAATCGCGATATCCCAGAGCCTCCCATGATTTCCCATCAAATCGCGATATCCCAGAGCCTCCCATGATTTCCCATCAAATCGCGATACCCCAGAGCCTCCCATGATTTCCCATCAAATCGCGATATCCCAGAGCCTCCCATGATTTCCCATCAAATCGCGATATCCCACAGCCTCCCATGATTTCCCATCAAATCGCGATATCCCACAGCCTCCCATGATTTCCCATCAAATCGCGATATCCCAGAGCCTCCCATGATTTCCCATCAAATCGCGATATCCCACAGCCTCCCATGATTTCCCATCAAATTGCGATATCCCAGAGCCTCCCATGACTTCCCAGGCAAATCGCGATATCCCAGAGCCTCCCATGACTTCCCAGGCAAATCGCGATATCCCAGATCCTCCCATGATTTCCCATCAAATCGCGATATCCCAGATCCTCCCATGATTTCCCATCAAATCGCGATATCCCAGATCCTCCCATGATTTCCCATCAAATCGCGATATCCCAGAGCCTCCCATGACTTCCCATCAAATCGCGATACCCCACAGCCTCCCACGATTTCCCATCAAATCGCGATATCCCAGAGCCTCCCATGACTTCCCAGGCAAATCGCGATATCCCAGATCCTCCCATGATTTCCCATCAAATCGCGATACCCCAGATCCTCCCATGATTTCCCATCAAATTGCGATACCCCAGAGCCTCCCATGATTTCCCATTAAATCGCGATATCCCAGAGCCTCCCATGATTTCCCATCAAGTCGCGATATCCCAGATCCTCCCATGATTTCCCATCAAATCGCGATATCCCAGAGCCTCCCATGATTTCCCATCAAATCGCGATACCCCAGAGCCTCCCATGATTTCCCATCAAATCGCGATATCCCAGATCCTCCCATGATTTCCCATCAAATCGCGATATCCCAGAGCCTCCCATGATTTCCCATCAAATCGCGATATCCCAGAGCCTCCCATGATTTCCCATCAAATCGCGATACCCCAGAGCCTCCCATGATTTCCCATCAAATCGCGATATCCCAGAGCCTCCCATGATTTCCCATCAAATCGCGATATCCCACAGCCTCCCATGACTTCCCATCAAATCGCGATACCCCACAGCCTCCCATGATTTCCCATCAAATCGCGATATCCCAGAGCCTCCCATGATTTCCCATCAAATCGCGATATCCCAGAGCCTCCCATGATTTCCCATCAAATCGCGATATCCCAGATCCTCCCATGATTTCCCATCAAATCGCGATATCCCACAGCCTCCCATGATTTCCCATCAAATCGCGATATCCCAGAGCCTCCCATGATTTCCCATCAAGTCGCGATATCCCAGAGCCTCCCATGATTTCCCATCAAGTCGCGATATCCCAGAGCCTCCCATGATTTCCCATCAAATCGCGATATCCCAGAGCCTCCCATGATTTCCCATCAAGTCGCGATATCCCAGAGCCTCCCATGATTTCCCATCAAATCGCGATACCCCAGAGCCTCCCATGATTTCCCATCAAATCGCGATACCCCAGAGCCTCCCATGATTTCCCATCAAATCGCGATATCCCAGAGCCTCCCATGATTTCCCATCAAATCGCGATATCCCAGAGCCTCCCATGATTTCCCATCAAATCGCGATATCCCAGAGCCTCCCATGACTTCCCATCAAATCGCGATACCCCACAGCCTCCCATGATTTCCCATCAAATCGCGATATCCCAGAGCCTCCCATGATTTCCCATCAAATCGCGATATCCCAGAGCCTCCCATGATTTCCCATCAAATCGCGATATCCCAGAGCCTCTCATTTCCCATCAAATCGCGATACCCCAGAGCCTCCCATGATTTCCCATCAAATCGCGATACCCCAGAGCCTCTCATTTCCCATCAAATCGCGATATCCCAGAGCCTCTCATTTCCCATCAAATCGCGATACCCCAGAGCCTCCCATGATTTCCCATCAAATCGCGATACCCCAGAGCCTCTCATTTCCCATCAAATCGCGATATCCCAGAGCCTCTCATTTCCCATCAAATCGCGATATCCCAGAGCCTCCCATGATTTCCCATCAAGTCGCGATATCCCAGAGCCTCCCATGATTTCCCATCAAATCGCGATACCCCAGAGCCTCCCATGATTTCCCATCAAATCGCGATATCCCAGATCCTCCCATGATTTCCCATCAAATCGCGATATCCCAGAGCCTCCCATGATTTCCCATCAAATCGCGATATCCCACAGCCTCCCATGATTTCCCATCAAATCGCGATATCCCAGAGCCTCCCATGATTTCCCATCAAATCGCGATATCCCAGAGCCTCCCATGACTTCCCATCAAATCGCGATACCTCACAGCCTCCCATGATTTCCCATCAAATCGCGATACCCCAGAGCCTCCCATGATTTCCCATCAAATCGCGATATCCCAGATCCTCCCATGATTTCCCATCAAATCGCGATATCCCAGAGCCTCCCATGATTTCCCATCAAATCGCGATATCCCACAGCCTCCCATGATTTCCCATCAAGTCGCGATATCCCAGAGCCTCCCATGATTTCCCATCAAATCGCGATATCCCAGAGCCTCCCATGATTTCCCATCAAATCGCGATATCCCAGAGCCTCTCATTTCCCATCAAATCGCGATATCCCAGAGCCTCCCATGATTTCCCATCAAATCGCGATATCCCAGAGCCTCCCATGATTTCCCATCAAATCGCGATATCCCAGAGCCTCCCATGATTTCCCATCAAATCGCAATATCCCAGAGCCTCCCATGATTTCCCATCAAATCGCGATATCCCAGAGCCTCTCATTTCCCATCAAATCGCGATACCCCACAGCCTCCCATGATTTCCCATCAAATCACGATACCCCAGAGCCTCCCATGATTTCCCATCAAATCGCGATATCCCAGAGCCTCCCATGATTTCCCATCAAGTCGCGATATCCCAGAGCCTCTCATTTCCCATCAAATCGCGATACCCCAGAGCCTCCCATGATTTCCCATCAAATCGCGATACCCCAGATCCTCCCATGATTTCCCATCAAATCGCGATACCCCAGAGCCTCCCATGATTTCCCATCAAATCGCGATATCCCAGAGCCTCCCATGATTTCCCATCAAATCGCGATATCCCAGAGCCTCCCATGATTTCCCATCAAATCGCGATATCCCAGAGCCTCTCATTTCCCATCAAATCGCGATACCCCAGAGCCTCCCATGATTTCCCATCAAATCGCGATATCCCAGAGCCTCCCATGATTTCCCATCAAATCGCGATACCCCAGAGCCTCTCATTTCCCATCAAATCGCGATATCCCAGAGCCTCCCATGATTTCCCATCAAATCGCGATACCCCAGAGCCTCCCATGATTTCCCATCAAATCGCGATATCCCAGAGCCTCCCATGATTTCCCATCAAATCGCGATATCCCAGAGCCTCCCATGATTTCCCATCAAATCGCGATATCCCAGAGCCTCCCATGATTTCCCATCAAATCGCGATATCCCAGAGCCTCCCATGATTTCCCATCAAATCGCGATACCCC